ATCCTCCTGTTTTTCTTTATAGGATAAAGCCACAATATCTTCAATGTACACACAGCCAGTTTGGAAGCCTGTGTGATGGGTTCATTAAGGACAATGGAATGAAACTTCAGCTTCACATTGGTTTATCAAGGACAGCAAGACTGTTCCCTGAATGAAAATTCCATCGTTTTGATATCAGTTTCCATAAGCACTGGACATGCAAAAAGGGATCTTTTCATACACAACCTACATAAATAAAGAGTGACAATATGTTCCTGAGTTTGTTATATTTCTGTAATTTTCCTCAGGGTAAACTAAATAGTTCAAATATGAACAAAAGAAATATGTTTCCTCTTTTACTGGATAGATTCCTGCAGACAGTTTTGGAAATTCTGAAAAACATTACAAGTGTTAAAAGACAATGCCAAAGATAATATACCACTGAGAAAATGTGATTCAAGTTTTCCGTTACTCTTTACTTGTTAACGAACAGCATAACTACTACTCCATACTAATACCTTCAATGTATCCATACAATGACTGACCAGTTTGAAATACTTGGACCTCAAAGCATGGATGTCTAAAGATTGAAGATATTTTGATTGTACACCATACATAGTAATCCCAACTCATTATATCCTTCTCTGGAGAAATGTTGTCAAGCTTTCATCTGAGATCTAGCCAAACACTCCAAACACAGTCATGAGAATTTGATCTTCAGTCCCGTTTCACATGATTACCCTAACCTGGCCCCACAGAACCATATGCAAATGAAAACATCTTGTACGAAATCAGATGAAGGAAAACTTGAGGTGGGAGACTATGACAATCCTGAGTTCACTATGTTGTCCTTCAATGTAATTCCACTGAAGGATGACAACTGAATCACTCTGCAGTGTTTCTATACACATGGACAAAAGTTAAGCACAGCTGAAAATATATTTCTACACAAACAAGACATATTAGTATATGGTTTCTTGCATAAAATATCTGAAGAAACATATACAAACCAGGATTGATTATCAAACGACATGTTTTGGAACTATTCCATGGCAATAGTTATTTTGACAATGCTTTCAACTGCTGCCTCAGCTACTTTTCTTCACACCAGGAGCAACAAATAATATTCTTTTGACCAAATCTGAAGCAGATACAGTGCTATCTTACACATATTTCAAAAAGTTATCTCCAAAATGTATGTTGAAGCAGAAATATACAAATATCGGGAGCAATGCTTAACTGTGTTCCAGGTGTATAAACATTAAGAAAATATTGTATGACACTCATCACAAGAACCTTAATTCAGGAGATTTGGTATTGTGTACCATCAATGTGCATTTCAGTGCATCAATGTGTGCCTTAAATGCATTCCAAAGATTGTAAGGAAACTTCAATCCCTGAAACATACAGGTTTGATTAATGACCAAATAAAACAATACTGGAAAACCAATACGTGTACACAAGTACCCTAGTCTTCAGAAGTGTTATTTCACTTACATTTATTGTAAAAAGTATCATATATAAATAAAATCTGCCCAAATATACTGAATGCATACTCACAAAATACAGGTGAAAATGACCCTAAAATAAACCTTTAAATGGTTTGATTATAACTAAAATAATCAACTAAAATCAAATAATTTGAAATCAAGAATATGACTTTTATCAAAAGACCTCATGCTATTTTGAACCATTTGATATTTGGTTTTCTCTTCACATGATTAATGTTTGATTGTAAAGATTGAGTGTGAACTAGTCTGATCGAAAGGGACATGTGGTTGACAGCAAAGAGTACCCGTACACTATGGCATCATAACACACATGACCAACAGGACTAAGACCAAAGCAAACTTTCTTGTATGGACATAAAGTAATAATGTCTGAGCTGGTCAGAGCATAGCCCAAATGCTTGTTGTATGCATCTAACAAATACTTTTCACAATCAAATATCTTGTGGTATGCCAGTAAAATTATACCTGAAAGAAATTTTCTTGTTCATTGTGAGTGAAATCAGATGCACTCAATAGCATCTCCAGTGAATGCCTGTATTTATTCTAAATTTCCATTGAGAGTATGAAACTTGATTGAAGACTCTAGAGAAGATGCATCTTCCCATGGCAAAAGTGTCCACTGGATTATATTAAGCTTACTTTTCTTGGCATCACATTGTGTTCACAAAGACTTGTGCCTCATCATGATGAAAATGTGATATTCAGTTACATTGCTGTTCTTATTTCAAATCACATACATGACAAGTATAACAGCCGACCTGATCGATCACAAAACACAAAAATTTGAGATTTCATCCCTGACAAACAAAATGAAAGATTATCACTGTAAAGATGTGTAATACTGCTTTATTGTGCTTTTATAGTAACAGAGGAATGCATGCATGACACTGCATATTGTCAAGTAATAGTGCACAGCGTGGCAAAATGAAACATTCTGTCGGACATCATCTAAAACTAGCACAGCATCTTAGTCAGTGCAACAAGCATTCAATTGATTGGGTTATGAGTCTAATGAATAAAAGTAAGTGAAAACTTTGAACCATTTTGGAAATTTTCAGAATAATTTCAGTGCAAATGTCAAATGGCTGTGGTTATAGCAGCAACTGCATATTAGAGATGTTAAGTTTGTGAAACATTCTCTGATTGGACTATATATACTTGCAATATGCCATCAACACTTACACACAGAATAGTATGCCTGATAAATCATGAGTGGAAACTAGTCTTGGAATTAGCTACTGGACAGTCTGGTTTCATGGGGAAACCGGGAGGATGGATTATTAGTGGATAAGCACCATGTGTTCTTGTAATTCCTCAAATATAAGCTTGTAAACAATGGATGATAGCAGTATCATGTGAATCAATGAATTACACTGCTGTCCTCTGTTCCAGATAGTTTGACAACTACATTACACCGTTGAAAAAATACTTTTATATATTGTCCTCTAAGAAATGTCAGAAAATTAAATTTGCAATAAAACAACATTTAAGAATATTAATGAAGTATGAAATCAAGTTACATAATTTATGATAAATTAAAAAATGTGAACCCATAATACAGGAAACAAATCTGTGACCTATACCAAGTCTCAAAAAGACAGAATGTAAATATTAATAAAAAAAAGGTTAATAAAACTACAGCTGATTTCAAAATACAAAGACTTCTGGTGGAAAAAAATGTACTGGTAGCAAAAGATCCTCTAGCTCAAGTATCTCAGCCGAAGAAAAACATTATGGTGTTCGTGTATACCATTATTTCAACCCCATAACAAAGAGACAGATACAATGGTGTAAATCCAGTTTGGTTTGATTCAATATATAAATCTAAGGATCTATACAGTCTAAGTAAACTTAAACTCAGTATTATTCGTTACACCGTTATACTGAGTCTAACAAACCCGAGTAGAAGGTCGCGACAGCTAACCTTTTGAATTGACCAATCAGAACACAGCTTACCAAATCGCGAAAGTTCACATTCGCACATACCGTGAACTTTCACCGCAAACGTTTGTACTCGAACGATTCCGAATGCTATTTTCCGCACGATCGTTTCCTGGTGATAAACATGGAGGACGCCATTATTCACAACAGTGGGTAAACAGTCACTGAAAATAATGATTATGTCAATATTCCAGGTTGACATCTTGTGGAAATATAAGCTTATGGTAACCATGTCATCAGAAGCCCCTAAGCGTATATACTGCAGGTCAGTTATCTGTGCTTTACTGTGGATTTTCGTTTGTTGAGAGATCAGTGTCAGCGACTGGGGGAAGACTAAAACCAAAAAACATTTTGTAAACCCTAAAACAGTAGCTGTTGTCTGATTGGTTAAATCCATTTGGCCGTCTTCACGTTTGACTGGACGGTCATAGGTCGCTCAAAGGTTAGCTGACGCGACCTTCTACTACAGTTTGTTAGACTCAGTATAGCAATGTAACGAATAATACTGAGCCTTAGTTTACTTAGACTGAGGATCTATACAACCAGCCCTACTTAATCATCAGATTAACATCCTCATCCTTTAGAAATCCTCCAAGCTCACCTCATTTTCATCGTAATTTGGCTGTGTTGCACTCCATTCCAAGTGTATATGCACCAACTGGTCACCATGTTCTTAGAAATTCAGTGGATAGTGAAATTCCTTCCTCCTCCATTTTTAGAAACTAATGATGAAAATCTGATAACTAACCATACAGGCTTTCTCTCACAACAATCTTCATATCCACGAATATATACTTAATGCAACATACTCATTGAAAAAGACGTAATAAAATGTTTTCAAAATTGATGTGAAATAGTAATTGGGTGGGATCATCTTGTTTGCATACTTATAAACATGCCCATAGGAATCAGGATGGAAATGTACGTCCTCTGTTTGAAGATCCGACACTTGTCAGCTAACGGAAACAGAAACATATGTTCTAGTGTGGCTAAACAGAAGCTGAAAAATGTTTGATTTCGCAGACTCCACAGCGGCATATTAGTTTTCACATTACAATTCATGAGTTAGTTACTGCTTGGAATAAATCACCTGTTTTGGTAACTACCATAAATGTGAAGAACGAACATGACACTGCGCTCTCACTCTGGAATCTGAGCACTTCAGGCCAGGTTAGGAAAGTTAATAATGAATGCTGATGTGGTAATCTTAATTAACCATCAATATTAATTGGTATCATTAAACCATACAATAAATAGAACGAAATGGACCTTGCAAGTGGAACCACCATTCAGTAAACCAATTTGATAATCATGTTCTATAACTGTTCTGTCAAGACCTGACACACTCTCCATAGGAGAGGTCACAACAGGTGAACTTTCTGATCAACCAAACATCAACAAGACTTCTAAATTCTGATTAGCATGACTGAACCATTCAAGACAGTATATTCAATTCCTGTGTCTAAACAACAAAAATGAACTGACAGTTCGGAATGGAAAACAATATCAACCAAGCTATTCTGTGAATATAAAACGATATTATTGACTGTTGGTTTTGTCATGTCTTTCAAAAAACACCATACAAAATTTCTTTCAGTGGTGGTCTAATTTCTCCAACACCAAATATTAGTAGTACTGTCCACAAACCCCTGTCTATGTTCTCTGTTTAACAATAAGATAAATTGTTTCATAATGCTGACATCTCATTTGCTTATATATGTCCAGGCACCATTCACTTCACATGGATGATCAAAGTTCATACAGGGTTTATTTCATGCTACCTCCTATGCAGTTTTCATCAGATTTTGATGGAAAGAAAATCACAAAATAAGAACAAATCAGAATTTAATGAGAATATTCTGAGTTTCACTGAATATATACTCCTCCATTCAGAATATAAGCTATGTGGACTATTTATCTGTCTTACAACTGAAGAAGGAGCATATGAAATGGGTAGGTCAACCCTGCTTTTTATTGTTTTACCATGTTAACTTTCAAACATGTCTGAACTTCAAATCTTTTCTAACAAATTGCCATTTTCGTTGCAACAAATGTGCCTGTGCGACACAGGAGGCAAGAATGTAAGCATGAAAATACAAGAATGAGTTATTAGAAAATTCATGAAACAGAGAAAGGTTATACGCTGCTTTTAGCAATATTCAAACAAACAAGAAAAGGCTTTACAGATTTAACCCATCTGTGAAGTTGAAACAAGGTCTTTGGCATGACAAGAAAATGTAAACCCACTTATCTACCCATAACCCCTAAGACCCCATCCTAGTTTACAGCAAATGAATAAATAAGTACTAGTAAGTGAGTGTGTATGTGAGTGCAAGACAACCATCACTTAGTCAAGAGTACACAACATCATTAACACAAAACAGCTTAAGATATAGAGATGCATATACCAAAGAATTTTACAGAGTACTGTCCCTACTCCCTTAGTCCAACACATGAGTATTTCCATGAAAATGGCCATAAGCGTTAAGCCCTCAGTATGATCATTCTATGTGCAAATGCGAGTATCAATTTTTAACTGATAATTATGTCATATGAATTATGTGTTGATGAATTAGCATAGCATACAGTTCTCAATACCTACAAATACACATTCCATTACTTTAATCTAAATTTTGCAGAACATACCTTTTACATACTTAACAAGTAAAATTATTATCTTGCAATTTTCACACTGTATCAACCATCCAAATAAACATTATAATTCTTTGAAATCTAAAATTATTTGAAAAATAACAATAATAACCTTATGATGTTTAAATTAATCATCTGTACATAATAATTTTCTTAAAAAGGATCAGTATAATGTGAAATTATCAACATTTGAAGTGCCATGTCATCACTATTAAAACAGATTAAATTTGTTTTTGAAATATTTAGTACCAATAATACACACCAATAAATTAAATTTACATTTTCTCAACAATATTATACTTTAGTTTCAATGTTCTGTGTGAGCATTCTTAGTTGCTGCTGTGGCTGTGGCTGTTGTTCTTGCTGACGTTCCTGCTGCTGTTCTCGCTGTCGTTCCTCCTTCCTCCGTTCTAGCTCTCGATACAAGGCACCCCGATATGCTTCATATGTCATAACAATTTTCTTCAGGTCTTCTTTGCAGAGTCGGACAAGCAGAGCATCATAGTATTCCAGTTCTGGGAGGCGGAACAACTCCCACTGTCAACACAAAGCAGTATTTTTAATATATTCATGACATGATTAGAAATTATTAAAATACTAACAACAACAACAACAGTTTGATTGTAAAGCACATTACTCCATACACAATGTATGTTCAAAGCGCAGCATTTTTACAACTCCTTATCAGTATGGAATCATTTTTTATTCTCAGCTCTGAGGTGAGTAAACAACCAAAGCTGCCTGTGAGGCACTAGAAGCTTAACAGTCACATTTCTGGCATGCCATGTAAATGCCACAGCCTCCTGATATGTATCCATCATTGCAAAAATCACTGTATCATGTCAGGTGTGCCTTCTTACATGGACAAGCTTACAGTGGTAAGTGATATCATTCCCTTAGCAATAGTAAACAAAAGTCATTCCTGCCACAATAATCATTCATATATAATAACTGTAAGACTGTAATCTCCATATATAACTGATATGTAATAATCAGTACCAAGAACTATCATTCTTACCCTGAGTTTGTGGTCATGGTCAGGGGGAGCTTTAGAATACACCATAAGAAAGTGTGGAATTTCTGAAGAAAAAAATAAAGTGAAAAAATTAAAAGGGTTTGTTTGATGTCTAATGTCACTCAGCAATTTTCCAGCTATATGGCGTCAGTCTGTAAAAAATCAAGTCTAGACCAGACAATCCAGTGATCAACAGCATGAGCATCAATCTATGCAACTGGGATACAATGACATGTGTCAACCAAGTCAGTGAGCCTGACAACCTGCTCCTGTTAGTCACCTCTTACAACAAGCACAGGTTGCTGCAGATCAATTCTAATCCGGATCTTCACAGGTCAAAATCAAAAAGAGAACTAAACAGCAACCATCAATAAAACATACTGAAAATAGTATAAGCTTGAAAATTTTAACTAAAAATGGTATGTTTATAACACTTATCTCACGTTATGCACTGTCCCTTGTTCTTTCAACGGTTGAGTGAAAAACATCCTGAAAGAAAGTTTCCAGCCTTTTGTAACACCTGACCACACCACACCCCTGATACTTCGGTTGTTATAGTCACTGGAAGCTTGTGCAAATAATTTGTCTTGTCCTGGCAAACTATATAACACCCAACAGAAGTCATGTGACAATGCCACATAGTCACTGGTTGGAGGATTCTGCCTCTCTAGCACACTCTCATCCTCCTGGAACTTGTCGAAGGTGACAGTTTGAGTGAATGAAGCTGAAGGATTCACACAATATTGTTGCCTCCCTTGACTCATGTTGCTATTTTTGCCACAAGAAGCTCATCGGAAGTCTGGGTTTAATAGAGTATACTGTGTCGGTCATCAGCATTGCACAGAGTCTTGTACTTGCATGCCAACCTACTGGAGTGAAGAAGCAGTCATGCAGAAAGTGGGTCCATAACAAATTTGGAAATGCTCATATATGAATGAGATGGTTCCTCTAACACATGCATGATCCTGGGTGGTAGCATGCGCCACAATCATGGCAACAGCCTGCATCACTGATAGAATTAAGTTGATGGATGGTACAAATGGTGGTATCCAGATGATTCTCTATCAAGGTCGGAGTATTGTTGTGTTTAGCACATAAAGTCACAATGTCAGCATCCAAAGATGGTGAGGTTTTGATGGCTGACAATCCATGTACATGCGAGGCCCCAGTAAATGAACTTTGGTGTCTGATGGCCATCCTTTATTCTACTGAACTGTTTGTCCAACAATGATAAGAGATCTTTAAGGATCGTCTTTGGAGGCAAGAATCCATATCACGATCCTTCATTCATAATAAAAGTAGTCGACTGATCTGCAGCTGAAGAACTCTTTTGTAGTTGAAGCTTGTCAACAATCCACAACAATATGGTGGAAGATTTAACATTCTCAATGCTACTCTCCAGGTCCGATTGACGCTAATGAGGAGGAGAGGATGATGTACTTGATAAGGAATATGTGATCTTAGATGAATAGATGGATGATGGCCGAGCATTATTTAACACAATCGACATAGCCTGTACAATCGCATGAAAGACCAAAGGCCTAGTAGCTTGAAAATCCTGGAATTGATGATCCCAAGAGATGTATTATCTGTTAAAGAGGAATCAACAAAGAGTAATGGAGAGTAGATCAATGATCAATGGTAGCAGAGTACTGCCTAGGGATTTTAGACGGCAGGGATGAAGAGAATTGTCAAATGTAGGATGGTCATCAATCCATGAGGAACTGCTAAATCTGAGAGCAAACACTCAGAGGGGAAGGATGATATTGTCAAAGATCCCATAGTTGGTGGTTGTTGTCGAACCCATGCAGGCATAGCTGATTGAAGAACTAGCCAGAAGGAAGGAAAGATCAAATTGTGAGATCACCGAATCTAGAGGCAGGATCATCGATCCAACGCCTGAGGATCAGACAATGCATTGTATGAAAAAGGAGAAGGGATAATCAATGAGGAAAGCGCTGGAAGAAGAGACTAGGGAGGGGTAGTCTGAATGGGTCAGAGAAGTTGTCTTGATGGGCAAGCATTCTTTGTAGCGTGCTTATATTTCTTGTTAGAAGATGGGATGAAACCGCCTGAAGCACCTTGCAATCCCTGACGAATACATGCCTTCCTATACCCTGCAAAGTAGTCATCAGCCAGCAGACTACATTCATTGTTGTGACCCGTTACATTACCTAATGCAGTCTTTGCATGAACTTCCAGTGACTGCCTTAAACAATAGGAGCAGGGGTGATGTATTTATAACTTTGTTTCAGCTCATTTTTCCACAGCACTTTCAAAAGAAAAAGGGAAAGTGCATAATGTGAGATAAGTTTATAATTGTGTGTGATTGCTGCACTCAGCAATATTTAAGCATTATAACATCAATCTGTAAATATGAACCAGTGAAAGAAATTGGGAGCAACTACCCACTCAGTATCTGTACAGCTGCGGTGGGGTAGCCTAGTGGTTTGTTCTTATTCCCCACATGGGTGCAATGTGTGAGGCCCATTTCACCATGGTATTGCTGGAATATTGCTAAAAGCAGCTTAAACCATACTCACGCACTCAGTGTGTGTACGAAGACACAGGCCTGTGTTTATGACCAGAAGGGACTGACTGACTGACTGAGTTTAGTTTTACGCCGCTTTTAGCAATATTCCAGCAATATCACGGCGGGGGACACCAGAAATGGGCTTAACACATTGTGCCCATGTGGGGAATCGAACCCAGTTCTTCGGCGTGACGAGCCAACGCTTTAACCACTAGGCTACCCCACCGCCCCGACCAGAAGGGAAACATATTCTGAACAAAAACCCTTTGGTGGTGAAATTATCATAGACAGAGAACATGGCACATCATTATATATAAGCATAGTATCCTTTCATGCTGATAGTAGTATTTCATACACTTCCCTGGGTGAGATATGTGTGTGACACCCAATTCTAGGTTCCTGCTTTGGTGATGGTGATGGCTAGAAGCAATCAGCTGGACGATGTCACTCACCGTTGTGTTAGGCATTCATAACAACATGGGAATATATGAAATATGCATCAATTTGACACTCAAATGATGTGATTTTATGGTGAGTAAGAAACAGATTTCTACACTTGTGCCCATCACATACAGGGTGTGACATGGCACAGAAATGTGTGTCAAAAACTAAATGATTATACTTGACCAGTAAACAAATATATTGCATCCCTACAAAATAACAAAATAGGTACAAAATAACCATAACAACAATCACTGTACCAAATTGTTGATAAGAAATGTAAGATCCCGGGGCAGATAAAGCTTTTTGAGAAAATGGGGATACACAGTTCATTTTCACCTGTTTTCATGAGTTTCAATGGTCATTTAATAAACATTTAGGACAAAAGGGGGGATGGGGGGTGCGCACACCTGCACCCCACCTCTGGAACCACCTATAGGTCCTGTAATTCAGGTAACTATCAAGTCATTAAAGTACTGTACAGTATACCATAACATTTTCTTTACTTTACCATATCTCCTGTAAGGAACCTTAAAATTCATTGTTGGAAAGTCCAGTGGACCCCCAGCTTTTTTAAGTCAAGCAAAAAAACCTTCATATACCATTTGTCTCACAACTAGCGATTTCGAAACTCTCTTTCACTTGGTTTATACCTTTTGAAATCATTTGTTGTGAGATAAATGGTATCCACTTGTGTTGTCTAACACAATGTTTCTACAATGTTTCATCTAACATGTACCACATGCTATAAGCTAACCAATAATGCATTTCCAACTCGGGCATTATGAGTAAAGCTTGCAATACTTATAAGAATTTCTTTACGTACAATGATATATTGTGGATGTTCATTTCACAAATGTGAACAGTTATTTACCTGTATGAAGATAGGGGTTTGCAGGCACAAGGACGTTAGTCTGCCGTGGTGGACGGTATTCTATGTGCAGGGGTATCTGTGGCTGGCGTCCATAGCTCAACATCAAGCCATGCTGTGGGACTAGTGCAGTACATGGATGCTGAACTTGAGCAGTCTTTGACACATGGCTGAAACAACACATCAGATTACAGATACCATTGTTACATCAATAAAAAGTATATAAATAGATTATCCAAATTTGAGCTGAACATGAACACTACTTTGGACAATTTTTTGCTTACACAATGCCATCTGATTAGAGAAGAAACTGGGACTCTCTATTATCGTGGGCTCTCTATTATTGCAGCACGTGAAAACATCGGGAAAGCAGAAACACCACGCCCTGCATCGGCTGTTCACATATGCAAATTTCATTGGTACGTCATGTCTAATCGTATATTAAAGTATTCATCTTTTCAGTAAGTTCTGGATCATTTTGAAACCAGTAAGACCCTACTGCCATTACATCTAGCATGAATCAAACCTTACTTCATCAAGAGTAATCCTGCAACAACTATAAGGTCATTTGCATATTTTCCATCCTAAACTATAACAGAAAGTGACATATTATGCAACTTCACCCTGCACATGGCAGCTAATTGTATGGCGACAAAAAATTATTTTGTTATGTATTGTTACCTTGTATCCAAATGAATAACAGTTTCAAATGTTTTGGTTAAAAACTTAACCAAACCTGAAGAGGTTTTCAATTCTTTGAAGAGAGTCGTCCTTGGGGTACATATATGCATTTTCTGCGCTGAAAATGTCCTGTGACAGTTGTATCAATGTTTTTAATAAAAATATTGTACAATAAATAAAATCTTTTTTATCTATTATACGGCCCCCACCCCGTGGAGTTACCTCCCGCTACGCATGCGCAGCCAACCAGGTAAGCACCTAGGCCCGTATCATCATTCCTTCTGCTGAATAAATCAGTGAACAGAATTGCGGGAGGGGGCGGGTGGCCCTACCCCAAGGACGACTCTCTTCAAAGAATTGAAAACCTCTTCAGGTTTGGTTAATTCTTTTTCATAGAGATCGTCCTTGGGGTACATATATGCATAAACACAGACTCCCAAAGACCGGAGGCCAGGGAGGAGGGAATTCTGTCAAAGTACACATAAATAGCGATCGTTAAGAATAAGGTAACAGACGACACAATCACTCACCTGTCACATGTCCCGTTGTGAGCTTCCGCGAGAGGCATGATGGGAGGGTAACCGACAGGGAGGAAAGGTACTGAGAGTCGACCTCGCAGGTTAAGCATAAGGAGAACACACAAAGTGCGAACGTAAACAACCCCACCCATCTTATGGTCTATTAGAGAGCACCGTAGGGGGGAAAAAACACTCACTACCGACCATAATCTCCGTAGAGGATCGAAAGGAGGTAATGCACACAGCAGCGGACATATCAATAAAACACAATTGAAAGCAGCGTCAACTAAACCAGATAACCAAGACTCACTCGGTCAGGGTGGCAGGACACTGTCCACTGGAGAGAACAGAACGGCCAAAGCGCCGCGGCACGATCACGTGAATGTGTATCGAGCTGATAGTGCCTGATAAAAGTGCTAGGCCGGCTCCAAATAGCGGCAGAGCATATCTCTTCAATGGGTAGTGCCGATGCAAAAGCTTTTGACGTGGCTACTGCCCTGACCGAGTGAGCCTTCAACCCCTCAGGGGGAGGCTTGCCCTTAGCCTGATAGGCAGCACAAATGACCGATACAAGCCAGTGAGACAGGGTCTGTTTGCTCGCCGGCACCCCAGCCTTCCGCCACCGTAACAGCAGAACAGATGGGTACCCGTACGGATCCCTTGTGTTCGTTTGAAGAGTCTTTCGGACATCCAACGGGTGAGTGCTCGTAGGAGAGGTCCCCGATGTGGAAGGCTGGGTAAGAGTAGGAAGTTCGATAGGAGCTGTCACATGGAAAGCATGATCGACCTTTGGGCGGTAAGTATCCGGGAGGCGAATACTGACACGATCTGAATGGAACACAGTCAGCGCCGGGTCTGACGACATAGCATGTAAGTCGCCAACCCTACGCCCAGAGGTTACCGCCACCAGAAATACAGCCTTCCATGTTAACAACTGAATGGAAATAGCCAATAGACGTGAGAACGTAGGACCGGACAGCCAATCTAGCACAATTGACAAATCCCAAGGTGGGCTGGTTCCCCTGACAGCAGGTCGAACCCGATCCGCGCCAGCTAAAAAGCGCTGTACGAGAGGGTGCTGCCCCAGAAGAGCACCATCAACAGGGGTGTGAAAAGTGGAAATAGCGGTGGAGTAGCCACGAATGGTCGAAGCCGTCAGGCCTTCTTCCAAACGAGCTTGCAAAAACTCCAATACTCAGACTAAATCCGCAGAAATGGGATCTGCAATCCACCTATCTGAACACCAGCGCGCATAGCGGGACCACCTATCCTCATACTGAACGTTTGTCGAATCCCGCCTCGAAGCCAGAATTGTGTCTGCAACTGCTGCAGGAATTCCGCGTGCTTTGAGGTTAGACCTGACAGGCCAAGCCACCCACTGAATCCTTGGATTGGGGTATGGCGCGCCGTTCTGAGTGAGAATGTCCGGTCGCAAAGGTAATAGAACAGGAGGCTGAGCCAGAAACCTGAGAATTACCGGAAACCAGCTCTGTGACGGCCATAGTGGTGCCAGTAGCACAAGCAGCCGAGCTGGCTGGGTGGACAGCTGGGAGAGGACCCGGGGAATGAGTGGTAACGGCGGGAACGCCCAGAGCACTTTGCCCATCCAATCCAGCAGGAAGGCATCGGAAGCCAACGCCCTCTGGTCCGGTATTCGAGGGCAGAACACGGGTATCTGATTCGTCCCGCCGGACGCAAACAGATCCACCTGGAACGATCCGTACAACTGGGAGATAACTCCGAATATCTGCCGGTCGAGCATCCACTCGTGCGGGGCCAGGATCCGGCGAGAGAGAGCGTCTGCTCGCACGTTCTCCAGCCCCGGGAGATAAACAGGGAGTACCTGACAGTCGCACTGGTCGCACCTGAGGAGAAAGTCCCACGTCTCCCGAAGGAGCGCTAGGGACACCGTGCCGCCTTGCTTCAGGATGTACGTCATGGCCGTACGGTTGTCCAACTGAAGACGAACCACCTGGCCCTGGACATGCTCCCGGAAGCGCTCGAAAACCAACCGCACAGCTCTCAGTTCCAACACGTTGATGTGAAGGCGGGCTTCGGCTTCGGACCAGAGTCCGGACACCGACAGACTGCCCAGAACACCCCCCCAGCCCGTGAGGGACGCATCGGTTTGAACTGTAAGAGCTGGCGTCGGGATTTCCAAAGGGACCCCCTTGGAGAGATTCCCGACATTGGTCCACCACTGAAGGTGAGGAGACAACCACCCGGGGACTGTGAGACTCCGCTCCAGGTCCTCCGAGTGAGCCCACAGACTCGCCAAAGCTTGCTGTATAGGGCGCATCCTCAACCGCGCCCGCCACACTACAGAGATAGTTGCGCCATATGGCCCAGTAGACGGGGCCAAGTCCGTGCTGGTGCCTGGGGCTGGGAGAGGAACGAAGACACCATCTCCCGTACTCTGGTGACCCGGTCGGGCGACAAGGAGACAAGATCCTTGTGAGTTTGGAACCGCGCCCCGAGAAAAACCAAGTCCTGGGTGGGTACCAGGTCGGATTTCTTGAGGTTGATGATCCACCCCAGTCGAACTAGAATGTCTATCACTGTGTGAGTAGAATCTAGGCTCGCTGGCTGTGTTAGCGCGCTGAGCAACCAGTCGTCGAGGTAAGGGTAACAACGCCTTCCTTGCGATCGAGCGAGGGTAGCTGGCACTAACATGAGCTTGGTGAACACCCTGGGGGCAGTGGATATGCGAAGGGAGCACCGTGAATTGGTAATTCATCCCGTCGTAAGAGAACCGGAGGTACTGCTTGAACGATGGATGAATGGGCACATGTAGATACGCATCCTTTAGGTCGATTGACGTGAGCCAATCGCCGGGCTTAACAGAGGAGATCACCGAGCGAAGTGTCTCCATCTTGAAGGATGGAACCTCTAGCATGCGATTCAACCCCTTGAGGTTGAGAATGGGACGGAACCCGCCGTCTTTCTTCGGAACGAGGAAGTACGTGGAATAAAATCCCGCCTGTTCCTCGCCCGGTGGTATGCGCTCTATAGCGGACTTGTCCAGCAAAGCCTGAACTTCATCTCGCAGTATACCCGCCCTGACCTGACATGACGGCCCGGAGTGCGACGTATGCCGGTGAATTCTGGCGGGCCTCGCTTCCACAGTGGTAGATGGCCGACACTGACGGTGGAAAGCACCCAAGTGTTGCTGGTAGCCTTCTCCCACTCCGGCAGGAATAGAGAGAGGCGGCCCCCACTGGGACGTGTGGTAAGAGAGCGTGAGTGGTCCCGAGTAGCTGAGCTGACTGGGACGGACCCATGGCGACAGCCTGTTGGGTTAACGGGAGGTTGGGGCAGACCTCCCGCGCCCGCGAAAAGGCTGGGAGCCAGGCGAAGAGGACTGCTCCTTGCCCTTACCCTTGGCGGGACGGCTCCTCCGCCTACCCCTGCCCAGCGGCCGAAGCCAGCCGGCAGACTCGGGTGTAGGCTGCACCCCGGAGGAGGAAGCCGGAACGGGAGAGCGGGGGCGAGAAGCCCGCGGGTGCTCCAACAAGGCCTTAGAATCCTTGAATGACCTGCTGGGCAGCCCAGGAAACACCTGCTGAGCTCCAGGAAACAACGTCGCTCCCAGACGGAAGGGAAGGGCCAGCAAGGTCTGCTGTGTAGCTGCAGAGTAGCGAGACGTCGACAGCCACAGCTTGCGCATCCCCATGACTGCGCACATCACCGTAGACGCCGCTGACCTCAAGGAGTGGCGCGCTAGGTGGGCCTGAACTTCGGATAGTTGGCGTAAGAGAACGACATGCGGAGAGACGTCCCCAGCGTTCCCCTCAGCCTCCAGGGCCGACCTCTGAATCGAGGAGAGGTAGGCCTCGTGGATGACCACCCGCACCTGCTGCATGGCATTCCGGTAAACCTCCTCGTAGGTCTGGTAAGCCTGCTGCAGGGGGGCGCCCGCGAGGGAAAACGGTGGCACTAAACGCCCTTGCCTGGCAGCCGGAGCTGCACCG